TATGGATATTTAATATCAATGTTATTATTTAAAACACAATAAATGTTGACAAGTTCATAGATCTAGTAAGTTATGATACTATATTATTATAATATACTATGAAATTAAGACGTACAAATCGCATGAATAAACAAAATGTGTCAAATTAACCAAAACAAATAATTTCTAAATGCTGGAAAAATATACACAAGGTATTGATAACAAATTAAACATACCTACTATTTTACAAAATAAATGTAAAAGTGTGTAGTGGTGGTATATTTGTCAGTCGATATAGCGGTAATCATTATTATTTACTATCGGTGAATTATTTACCTAAAGTAAATAGTGTTTGGTACGGTAATAATTTTTAAACGCTACTATAGCTATTGTCAAAGTTAATTGTCAATAAATAATAACAGAGAGCAGTCAAGTTTCACCTTAATATGTTAGCGTCTCCAAGATATTTAATTTATTTTTTATACTCCCTTTAATTTTAAAACTGTGTAGCTCGTTAACTACTCAATCAATTTACCTAGTTTTTACGCCTAAAATTAAATTTAAAAAAAATAAACACGATCATCAAAAAAAAATTGGGGGTTGCCATTTAAAAATCTAAAGTTGATATGGTTTTAACGCATAAGGGATGGTGTTAAAATTTTGAAAAATACATTAAATTTGTCCCACCTAATAACTATAATAGTACAAAAAAAAAATAATTAAAAAAGTCTAATATCTTCTAAGATATTGAGTGGTCCATAGTTAACCAATCACCCGGTACATAGAATGTTTGGGATAGGGTTTTTCAGGGTAAAAAAACCTTATTCTCTTTGCCCGGTTTTATTTTTTGTATACCTTCAAAAACGCTCCCACATAATGTCAAGTTTCTCTCTCTCAGTCTCTTTTTATCTCTCCAATAAAAAAAAAAATAAAAATGATAATAATAAAAAAGCTCTCCGTGCAAATTTCTCAACGGCACATCCGTTCGGTCGTTTCAAGATCGACTAAAGATAATATTATAATAATATTGTGATACCGTGTTCAACCGAGATTTGACTTATAATTTCAAAGAGATTGCCCTTGTTGTACAATATTGAACTTGAAACACCCCCCTTTTGGCATTAATCAATATACTAATAGGTATATGAATATTATTTTACATCACCTTTAGCAGTAGCATTGTTTGTTTACCGGTTAATGTACACTAATTAAGGAATCATAAGCAGAATAAACCAGGCTGAATGTGCATTTCAGAGCAAGAAAAATATGTTTATATCTAGAACAGAAGAAAAAAGTCTCCTAGCGTTCGAGACATGGTGTTACAGAAGGCTACTTAGAATAAGCTGGACAGAACACATAACAAATGAAGAAGTTTATCGAAGAGCCAGAGAAACAAGAAGCTTTGTGAAGACCTTAAAAACAAGAAGAGCCAAGTTAATTGGATACATACTGCGTCATAACAGTCTACTTAGCAGGATAATAGAAGGTGCCATCGAAGGGAATAACAGCACAGGGCGACCGCCACTGGACTACATTAGTCAAATAGCAGTTAGAGATATGGACTGCAGATCTTATTGCGAATTAAAAAGGAAAGCCGAGAAGCGTCAGGAGTGGAAAATTGCTGCCAACCAGCCTTTGGGCTGCTAACAAAAAGAAGAATTAAGGAATCAAGTAGTCGGAAAACAAGGAACACAGCAATTGATCCGCTAGTATCTTTTTGCAAACCCAGAAATCAAGTACTTAAGCTTTTTCGACTAGACTTGGCCAACGCTCGATTACAACATGTCACTTTTAGGTAATTTTTGCTAGATTTCCGGATGAACAGTTACACGTCAACTCATTTGGACGGAAATCCCTTCAACGAGTTCGGTTAGCCGAGCAAGTCCGGTTTGAACGAATCGACGGCGGTTTCCCGTTTTTTTTTTTTGGACGCTTCGCTCTTTTTTAGGTAGGTTCAGCTCGAGTGCGTCCGTGAGATGTGTGATGGATACTGTGGCTAAAAAAACTCAATGCGTGTAGGGTTTTAATGCCATTAGAAGCCTATTGTCGGGGGCGGTTAGCGCGTGTCCTGCACGTGTACGAGCCCACGATAATCTCAGTTTAGTCACCAGAGAGCACCCGCTTAATAACCGATTATCGTCGAAGGGTATAGCGTAGAGGTATAATGTCAGTGTTTGTTCGGGCCTATGGTGGATGGCGGCGTGTACACTATAGGGTTTATATATTATACAATACAGGAAAAAACAACACGGACGGCCTTCGGTTTGCAACAATAATTCGGGGCCGACTTAATCGGATTATCTTTAATTTTTTTTTTGGCTGTGACGTTCCGGCATCGTTCAATCTTTGGCCGGCGCGAAAAGGGCGAAAATCTGACTTGCCCGCCGCAATCGAGATTTAAGTCACGACCCGGTCGTGGGAACACATTGTTATTGTATGGTATTAACTCCACGGTTTCGACATGAATACAATATAGGTGAATTTTGTCTTTTGGCTGGGGGGGGGGGGTCGGTGCAAAAAAATCCCCTCAACGGTAGTGCCGCGTAGTAGAGCATTGATCTAAAAGAAAAACATTCACACAAACGGTGCTGTAGTATAATACTTGGTGATTTATATTTTTCAAAAGAAACACCAGAAAGTTTGCAATTGTTTTTTAAGAGATATTGTGTCTTAACGAACCATCCTGTACACAAGAACGGCAACCGATTTTATACGGGATTCCCGCCGTCAACAGAGGTACCCTGGTCATAGTTTACCATCCGCCCGTCCATGCACTATGACCAGGGTACCTCTGTTGACGGCGGGAATCCCGTATGAAAACACTTGCCGTTCTAGTATATAGGATGATTCATTGAGGACAAGAGAAACGATATCTCTTAAAATAATTTACACTTTTCTGGTGTTTCTTTTGAAAACATTTTTGTACATGACATCTTATTACACCTTATTATTATATCTTATCATAACTTAATTAAAATGACTTGTTGAATTTTTCCATTGGTCGATATCCGGTTTCGAGTAATTACTTTTAAAGTTACTGAAGTTTAAAATTTAAAGCAAAGTGTAGTACTATTATTTTTTTTTTTTATTTGCTCACATTACTCTTAGGCATTCCATCACCCGTCTTAAACTTTAAATTTTAGGAACATTAAAAATAATTATCCAAAATACAAAAATGGACTTGTCGACATTTATTTTCTATAACTTAAGCGATGGTAATTATTATCTTTTTCCTTTTTCATTACAGCCTACAGACAATATTATTGTTTGTATCAATATAATGGTTTACGTTTACAGGAAAATGCATACTTAAGCTATTTCTATTATTCGGGTTGTCATGTCGGCCCGTTACAAGTTAACGTCACATAATTAAAAAATTGTAAGTACAATAAAATTACTAATTTATCAATTTACATCTCCGCCAAGTTCTTTCTCGGTGGCATTTAAATACACAGGGTCGCATTTGAAATCTATTAATACATGGAAATAACACTTTGGTGTATTTAATGAGTCTACAATTTTTTTCAGTAAATACTTTGAAAGCTGACATCATATTATTAAATTATTTTATTTGGACAACATTGTATTTGTATTGCGGTACGGTTATCACAAAGAGCTCTGAGTATTATTTTTGTGGCGCCATCTGTTGATTGATAGAAAGTATTATAAAATGTTAAAAATTAACCTCAAGAGTGCAGCACAATACACGATTCTCTCGGTTGCTGTTAAAAAACGCTAGGTATGTGCTAAGTTTTTTTTTGAAGACCCCCAGCTATATTACATAAATAAAATATTATGTAAAACAATGTGTACACACACACACACGAGGACAACGTTATAATGACTACAATAGTAATAATTATTTTGCAAGTTGTGCGAAATTAAATACTCTTGCGCGTCTGCTATTGTTTTTTAACGTTTATGAAAATACAATAATACACAAAAACATTAATAATAATATTGCGCATGTGCACTGGCCAGTGCAAAAACCGTTTGGTTGTGCATAACCCATATAATTAAAAAAAAAAACATGTATTTTTAATTATTCAAATATAGTTTTAATATAGTTATTAATTTTCAGTTGGAAATGTATTTTTCTATTTCTAAAAAACACTTAAATCACGTCTGATTAAGTAAAAAAAAATAATTCTAGGAAGAATTAACAAAAAAAAAAAAAACGTTTTCTGCTTGAATAATTTTTTATCAAGTCGAATATTTGTAGTACTTGCCATTTAGTGTTTAATATTTGTATTGAATGTTTTTATTTCATTATACAGATTTCGGTAAAATTGTTTAACGGACAATTGTATTTCTAAATTGAGAAAGGACATATTTTTATAATTAAATTAATATTAAACCAAGTATATTTTGTAAAGAAATAACACTGCGAGGGCTTGGCAAGTATTTTAATGGGTTTCCTGCTCAAGTGGTCGGTGGACGTTTTTTTTAATGTCAGTTTTAATATACATAATATATGTGTGCTCTCGAATTCCAGTAGACTCTGGTAGATTTTTGTAACGATAAGAAGGTGTATCGGTGTGGAGATTAAGAAAGTTTACAAAATACCAAACGGTTTCAATGAGCCAAAAAAAAAAAAAAAAACAATGACTTTGAATTTCCAAGGAAGGCCGTGTGAGTGACGTCCGCTCGACGATAAAGCGATTATTTTCACGCTGTTTCAAGTGCATTGTTTTTTTCCAAATATTCGTTTTCATCCGGTTGGCTTTTTTACTGAGGTTTTATTTTGTAGAAAAAAAATGTTTAGAGAAAATATAAGGCTGGTATCTTCGACTGGCAGTGTTTATCTCTTAAGGCTATTTCCGTTTAAAAAGGTGTTCTGTTTCAAACAAATCCTGTACCGAAATTGTAATTTTTTTTTTTTTTTGCAGTTAACTGCAATTTTGTTTGACACGTGAACACGATAACGTCGTTCAAGATAAGTGCAATGCACAAATTATCGTCTCAACGGGGCAGACTCACAATCTGATGTGGTGTATAAAATCACACCACGACCGGTACAAACGCATCATTTGGTACTCATCCGTCCAAGTCTAAATTGTTTTTTTTTTTTTATAATTAATAAAAAAAAGTTTCAATTTTTAACCCACACTGATCATGGCCCGTTCCCGTCTTTTCGTTAGCTTGGCTTCTTGCCTGATGATCGCTCAAGTAAGTCGTCCAAACATTATGGGAAAAATAAATACCTATATTACAAGTACTTTACACAGTTGTATAGTTTAAATTTCTATTGGAAAAAAAAAGTTGTGAAAAACATGATGACCGTCTAAGTCAAGTCTAAATAAAATATATTATGTACTATATATATATATCAATAAAGAATTCTGAGGTTTTGGCCAAACGATTTTCGGGTTGATTTTCTTTGACAAGATACGTTGGTAAGGTTGAATTGGAAAAAAAGTCTGTGTTTAATGTCCTCTTTGTTTGGCAGTTGATAATAAAATAATACATTATCGAGTATTATATTTCGCTTAATATTATATTTGTTTTTTTTTTTTTTTGCAGAACTCCTATTTTTCAGACGCACTTGCAATCAGCAAAACCGTGAGTTTAATATTACCATGATTATAATGACTGTAATTTAATTAGGTAGAAAGATAATAAATACTACATTCTGTGATATTTTGCTATTGAAAATATCAATTGTTTCTGTGTTTTGTTTGGTTCAATCAAACCGTTAACACTTGAAGGTTAAAAAAAAATATTTCAGTACAAATGATTGAATATAAATTTAATAGAAATCGCTTAAACTTATTTTACTTTGTCCCATTTGTTTACAACGCTGACATCTTGTTACCTACTTGGACTAAACTAAATTTTAAAATATAATTAACAACTTAAATCACCACTTTCGTGTATAAGTTGTAAGACAATTTTTTTTTATTCATTTCTTATTTTTTATTTTATTATTATTATTATTTATAACGACATAATATGTTAATTGCTTAAATCTAATAGATCTAATGTAGTATCTATCTTTATTGTTGTTGTTTCACTGTAAGCATGATTTACAATAATTTTACAGTTCAGCGCTTCTATCGGTTCATCGCCTGGAACCACTGGCACTGGATCGAATGTTGTAAGTAAAATATGTTTTTACCGTTTGTATTTTTTAACAACTTAAACATTATCGTATAAGTAAATCAATTAAATGTATATTTGTACCGCCAATTCACTGGTCTTGTCATTGTTATACTTTGTACAACAATTAATTGGCATATGATATTTACCAAATTTTGAGTTAACGTTAAGGGGTTTTTTTTTTTTAGGGTGTCCCGTTGACGGGAGGTAATAATGGTTACAACACAGGTTGCAACACAGGATGCAACGGAGGGTTCAATTCCGGTTGTAACAGCGGATACGGATCTGGATTCAACAACAACGTGAGTAAAACCTAAGAATTGTCACTTACACTATAACGGTAGGTTTTTAATTTTTCTTTCTTTTTTTCCAGGGGTTCAATAACGGCGCGGGCAACACCGGAGTTAACACCGGATTCAGCAATGTAATTAGATTTACCTCAATATTAAAAAAAAAAAAAAAACGACATATGTCTAAAACTGTATTGTTTTAATATTTAGGGTCTTTTCAACGGTGGATGCAACGGTGGATGCAACAACGGATGTCCTACACTGATAAACAATGTGAGTATCATAGCATGTCAATAACCGTCGGTACAGCTGGCAATGTTATTTCTTGTCACATTGTCACAAATTAATAGCACTGATAATAAAATATTATTTATTGTTTAGGCCAACCCATACGGAGGATACAACGGTATATTCGGAAACGGTCTCTACGGCTATGTAAGTGTTGGTTTTTTCTTTTCGGTTAAGGTCGACTTCCCGGTTTCCATCACTTCCATATTATCTTATCTCGTCTCTTTTTTTGCCAAGCTATCCACAAAAATGTTTGCACCAAATTCCCTTAGTCTCCCATCTTTTTAACCTACCTATTGCACATCCGTCTTCTCTTATCCTCATCGGCGTCCACCTTTCAATCTCACAATCATTTAACCGTAAATTACACTACTTCTTTTTGGCTTACTTATCCATCTCAAATCTGCTGTCTGTTTTATTAGAACGCGGTTGTACATATATACAAATTATTAATTATAGTTTACATATTTTTGTTGTTTTAAAATAAGTTAGCAGGTAATCAACTATTCTTGCATACCCCTTTGATAACCTTTTGATTTTTGTTAATATTATTGTCTGCAACACGAATTGAGACCTTGTCGAACACTTTTTACAAATATCCAAAAACATTAACATCTGTGTTAATATTTTTCTGGAACTTACTATCACTTACCATTAACGCCAATTGTTGCTCTATGGGTTTACATTGATTGGAGAAAATACAAATATCAAGTTTTATGTTTGGATAGCAACAGTTTTGGCCGGGATCTTCCTAATGCATGTACTTGACTTCTCTGGAAACATATTAATTAAATATATCATGAAATTTGTATGCATGCAATTAACAATTCGTTTAAGTCATTCTAAGTCCGTGTTCTGTTCGCTTTAGGGACTTGGAGTAAACAACATTTGTGGATCAGGACTATTGAACACTGTAAGTACAACAGCTATTAAAATTGCACAAAAGCGATTCAAAGTAACATAGTATTTTATGGTAGCAACGTTTTACACGGTTTTTCCATTATAGGGAATAACCAGTGGATGCACCAACACTCTTCTGACATGCGGTAGCGGATACGGATCTGGTTGTGGATGCGGATCAGGTTGCGGATTTGGCTCGCGGTCCGGATACGGATACGGTTCTGGGTCTGGAACTGGAACCGGAAATGGAGTTGGATACGTATCCGGGTGTGGATGTGGATCTGGATACGGATCTAGGTCCGGATGTGGATCTGGCTACGGGTCTGGATCGGGATGCGGATGCGGATGCGGACCTGCACTATTTGTTTCCGGATGCGGATGTGGATCCGGATCTGGTTACGGATCCGGTTACGGATCCGGTATAGGATCTGGCCCAACTGTCGGCGGAGTAAGTCATATTTTGTAAATCTGCAATTGCTGAGTGTAAAATAAGTGTACAAGTAATAACTAACATTACTTTGTATCATCAACAGGGTTCAAACGGAGGACAAGGAAACGGTTTGGGAATTGTAAGTAACCGATCTTATGCTAAAATAAACCATGTCGATTTTATCATGCTAGACTTAGGAAGATTTCAAAGAATTTATTAAGCTTCATAACAATTTGCATTTATTACCAAAGCCAATCATACTACTCTCTTGTAGAAAGCATTCATTTAAATAATTATTCATCCAATTATCTTCCTTGTTTTGTCTGGTCTTTCCTGTTAGAGTTTCTTCTACACAATTTACCTCGTTTGCTGGCATAAATGGATTTACTTTAAATAGCACAACATTTGTGCAAACAATTTCAACATTAAACAATTTTAAATAGTTGGTTTTTTTTTTTTTTTAGGAAGTAAGCAAAGGATTATCTGTCAACACTTTACTCGGAAAACTCTCAGTTGAAAAAGATGCGTCAGTCAATGTCAGCCCATAACGAACCAACGTTTAACATGTAAGTTTAGTTTCATCACAGCAAATCCATGGTTTTTGTCAACAGTTTTATAATTTTCATCATAAACACTTTTTAGTTTATACATTAAAAATAAAATTTAGTTTCAAATAATTGAAACATTTCTGCATACTGTTTGACTTTGAAACTATTGTTGACAAAATATTGTATTAAAATAAAATAACAACATATTTTGAGCTCACGTTTGCAAAATGTTTTTATGTTTCTTGTTTTTTACATTATAACTATAAAAAACTGAGAACCTAACTAAATATATATTTCTGTTTTTTATTTTAGGAAATTACCAATTGTTTGTTTACCATCTGTTAATTACAACAAATTGTTTAAAAATTGAATAAAGATTTTGTTTTTACTAAATTTTGTTTTGATCACGGTTTTTTTTTTAAGAAATTTACATTAATATTTTTAAATTGCACCTTATAGAAATCATTACTTATATTTTTTCTGGTCGCATAATATGTAATATTATACACATTTTTGTAGGACTTTAAACTAAACCTAACATTATGGTAATTATGGAATATTTTTCATTTAAAACTAAAATAAACACAGTGTCTTCAGCTATAAATATGGCGTTTAACAGTAATTATAGTTGTATGTGTCTGTGCTTATAACTATCAATTACTAATAAATAAAATAAAATAAAAATTAAATGTAGTAGATTAACCGTCGTTTGATGCTATTTAATTATTATTACAATTAAAAAATAAACTTTAACATATTAGCACATCTGCTAAATGTTTATACGTACAACATGCATTGAACGCCTTGCTTTGATTTGCAACTAAGCCAGAATGTACTTAAATAATATTATAATATTAATAATTTACCTTGAAAACAGCTGTTAGGTTTTATATTTTGTAATACATTCTACGATCCAAACGTAAGCAATATAATTATGATCTACAAATCTTTGTGTACAGGTCTGCAATACATCATCACAGCCACCTGAATAGGTTTTGAAGTAAAAAAACGCCAATACATCACTGTTTCTATATATTATTTGTTGTATTTAATATTGTATAATATCAATATGGAGAAAAAAAAACATGTACTTTGCGGTCATCGGTCTTGGACGTGACTGGTAAATATTTTTTATTTACAAAACAAAGACAATAATATTAAAAAAAAAAAACAGTAAACATTTATTGTCTTTTGACACAATTCAGTTATCAAAAATACATAGTACGGTTGAGTTTTAAATAGATATACAAATAAAACCGCTTTAGGATTAGGTAAAATAATTATTACAAATTATTATATGGTAATTTTATTGTTTCCACGTTGGTAAATGCACATACAGTTGGTATTGTTTAAGTATATATTTAGCGGGTATCTTTTGTCGTGATAATAATATGCCAAAAGCATGCCGTTGCAGCTGTGGAAATCCCATTCTAATTATTATTATTATAAACGTTATTATCGCTTATATAATGTCTAGTGATAGGCGCATCCTTCTGAATTCAAGTCATAACTGTATTTGTCACGCTTTACCTTGTCACCGGACTCGTGTATTGTGTTCGCGGTTCGTTACAACAACAAGCTTGAAGATTATACATCTTTATCAATGTGTAATAAGATAATGAAAATGATTTCAAAAATGCGTATCACACCTGGCAGTGTTATGCTGTACATATATATACAAGAGTAAGCTGAATACGGTTGGCACTTGACGTTTGTGTTTATTAGCTCAGCACCACAACGTTCTCTATCCTGTCTGGAATATTCGGTCATCGGTCATGAAGGGCGTGGCTAGTTTCATTTGTGCGGCGTCTTGCCTATGTTCCATTCAAGTAAGACTCTAGTTGATTTATTTTTGTCCATTTCTTTTTTTTTTACAAAGTATTCTGTCTGAGTAAAACGGTTATTGGATAGTGAGAATATTGTACTGTGCAAATGGATGTATTATTGTGTTTGTTAATATGACTCGAGAGCTATTTGGCTCAAGTAGTAGTTATGAAAAATGCCAGCCCGCTCTATCACTAGCTTTTGATTACTTTCAAGGGACAAATAGAATTGATAAATACAAAAGTATTCACAGAACAAACAAATCAAATTTCCAGTAAAACTGTATGGATTTTCCTAGATTTGACAGATGAACAAAATTAGATGAATTTTAATTATTAACGTTTTTGGTAGTTTCTACTAGAACTCACTTTGTACTTATATTTATTTTTAGGTTGCTCACAGTGTACAGGACCAAAAAACTGCTGACAGTGAAAATACTAAAAGTGTAAGTAAATTACAATTAAATAGCTGATGAACTATTTTGGAATGAAAAAAAAAGACATTTGTATTAATCATTCATCTTTGGCTTGTTGTTTATAGATTTTTCTGAACGATCAAACTAGCTTAACAGATCTCGAGAAAATCATTATGGTAAGTACTGCGTTTGAGTTTCAATCATCGTCAATTCATTTAAAATCTTATCTAGTTGCTGTTTAAATCAATAAGACAATTAATATTTTTCCAGGGTCTGAAATATCCTTTTATAGGACCAGTGTCCAAAGATGTAAGTCTTATTATTTTTTTTTTTAAATAACAGGTTTAATTAAGGTTTCAAAAAGCACTCCTATTGTGGGAATTATAATATCTCCAATCTTACACCCCTTTCTAATATTCTCCAATTATGCTACTCTCCCCGAATTCCACTTTTCAATATATTAAGTACAAACGCAATACATGTCCACCATATTATTATTTCTGCTTCATTTTACATTGAAACGCCTTATCTTTATTGTTATAATCACATTGGCCTCTGTTCTATCATCACGTTCAAACTGCATAAATATCTTTTCATTTTTATTCTTCCTGAAATCTAAAAATAACTGTTTATACTTCCTCGTTTTATCGCACCAGTTGTACTTGGTTTGTATTTTCATATTTTTTTTTTAGATGTACTATTTCTTCATTTGGGTGAAAATGGTGCTATTTTTTCAAATATAGCCGTGATAATATAACTGCCCTCAATAATATATTATAGGAGATGATTTTGAACTTACTTATGTGATAACATTCAGATCGTTGTAATAATTATGTAATAAATCAATTAATTTTATTATTATTTTTCCAGGTCAGCCCTGCTCTAGGTTATGATGCCAAATTCACAGATAACATTTTACCTAGCGTGAGTGTTTATAATATTTTAAAGCGATTAATAGGTATTTCCCGTTTAGGGCCAGGTCAGAAATATTAACAATAAAGTTTTGAAGTCTACGCTAAAAAATAAGGATGTTTTAATTGGGTGTAGAGAAACTGTCGTGAGCAAACTGTAGCGAATAAAGAAGATCAATTTAAGTGTGTGGGTTACAAAGAGTAGGTCACTTATCTGTTGGATAATATTAGAAACGAGCTGTACACATAATACAAGTGTTCAGCGGCTTAGAGTCTAGATGTACTTAACGGTGGTGGTGGTCGAAAAATGCAAGTTCTACAAAACTATTTATTTTTGATTTTAGAATTCAAAAACGGCATCAACCGAAGTTCCCGATAGGATCGCCGTTTTTTCTGTAAGTATAAAAAATACTTATTGAAAACCTTATAGTTTCTGAGTGAGGTGGTGGGAAATTACATCTCCAGTGTAGTAATAAAGTATATTTTTAATCAAGCACACACTTCCCCTCCCCCTCCAGTGCCTATTTTACCTCTAGTTTTTTTTTAAAGTGTATTTATTGTTAATCGTTTCAGTCAATGAAACGGCTGAACTCGATGGATTCGCCAAAAAGCAACGTTGTGAGTACAACAATTATTGTTATAATTGCATTTTAATCGTTCATTGACCGAACATCTTATGTATTTTATATATTAATAATTCGACCATATTATTTTTGTAGGACGACAACGGCATAGATCTTCCAGAGTTAATGAACGCGCTAACCTCCATGTTACAAGTAAATTGATTTCTGTCAAAAAAAAAAAATAAAATCACCATACCAAACACTTAAGATTATCGCTTAAAAAGTAGTAATTGATAACACACTTTCTAGACTCTATCCGGTTCCCAGAGAACACCATTTAGCAGTGCATCTAAAAGCGGTTCAGAGCCTGTGGAGTCAGAAGCAAAGTAATTTTATTAGTGGACAATGACCAAAGAATTGAGTACAAAATGAAACAATTGCATTATTATCAGTGATAACATTATAAGTAAACTGTATTATACCTAATGTAATATTGTAATTTATAATTGTTCAATGTATACAATTAATAGAACGTCTCTATTTATTTATTATTATTCGAAAATAAAATTCAGCATTTATGAAAATATCAATAATTGTTGTCATCTAGATATGTTGTTTTTTATTGCACTTCGATACTACCCTCTCCAATGTGTTAACATTTACTAACTAAAACCACTTGGGTTCATAGATATGAAGCGAATTATTATATTTTTTGCGGGATCAAAATTCCAAGTGCGTTTATAGACCAAAAAGTAATTTATACATTTTATATTGATTTACAAGCAGCCATCTTTAGCGTTCCCAATAGACATTATTGTATGTTTTATAAATAAAAAAATCCACCCTAATACTGAAAATGTTTTTTTAAGCACAATTTTAGTAGAGTTGCGACACTTGTGCACACACAAAAAAAATTCACATATTTTCATACAGTAGAATTTTATCCAAAAATTAACTTCATGCTGCCTATAGTATTAATATGGTTTATTTCTTGTAACAAAAAACCTTATCGTACAGTTGTTTTCAGATCAGAAAACATATTATATGTGTACAGACAAATATTTTTCATAAAGCGACAATAAAATTTTATTTAATTTAAAAAAATGTAATTATAATAATTATCATAATATTGTTTTCTAGATATTTGTAGCTTATTGTCAAATGAATTCTTTAGAAAATACAAAAGCTGAATTTTCCTAGTGAGTATTTAAATTAAATACCTCATTTGTTTATTTTTTTCAAATAGCCTTTATTCAAATAAAATATTTAGCTCGACAATTAAATTTTGAAAAATACCTCATCTTAAGTGCAGTGGGTAAGCTTTTATGTATTTATATATTTAAACAAATGGTATTTATTTTGACCAGCGTTTGCGGGGTTTCTTTTCACTCGGCCCCTGAAAATAAATAATTATTATTCTTAAAAATATATTTTATTTGTTTGGTACGATTTGAAAAAATATAAATATTGATGATTTCTTGGTAGTTTAATTGGTGGATTATAATATGGATTTATATCGCGTTGTATATTCATTAAAGCATTCAATTAAATTACATGAATAAAATTGTATACAGCTATAAAAAGAACCATAAAACATCAAATTTAAAACCGAATACCCAACATTAAAAGCACTATCAACTAAATATTCGTATGTAAACCATTTAATATGGTAATATATTAATTCAGTAATGACCTCTTCAGCTTCCTTTTGCTCGTGCAGTACAAATGCCGACATCAAGAACTCGGCAATGTTCAAATATGAGTCACCTAAAAATAATATTTTTAATTTATTTTGAAAACACTTGTTCACAAAAATGGTATTTCGAATTTATCATTTAGTTCTAATTTGAACGTTGAACGTACAACATATCTCTTATCTCATATCAGATAACAGCTTAACGATTTTTTCGTTATAATTTTTTTAGTTATGTGCCAGAGCTAAGACATGAAAATGTCAAAAAATTGTTAATGCTTGTATTTGTATAACATTATATTAAAGTATTTGTAAAAATGTATTATATAAAAATAACTATTAGTGATCTCACCAATAGAATAACCAGTAAAACAGTAAATGGCACTTGTAATACCAATATAAGAAAAAACAAATGAGATAAATATTGGTAATCTTCTTTGCAGTTGTATTTGTCAAAATTGCCAAAAAAAATATATATATAATAATTTGTTTAAAACCTAAATATTAGTCTTACAATTGTGGGTTTTTTTTTGTGTCTGTAAACAAATAATATTTTTCTTAACTAAAAAGAATTAATGAAATATTAGTTTTGCCCTTACCAGTGTTTAGATAGTTTGAATATTGAAAAATTCATTTTTTTTTTTTACTCACTTTTATTATACATAACTTAATTAATAAACATTATGTTATTGATTTAAAATTTAAATATATTGAGCAGCCGACATTTTAACCATATCCATAAAATGCAAAAGCGTTTCATATTTGAACGGGAAACAGTAGCTTTTTAATTCGTTTAAATAGAATTTGAAATCTAAAATGATTATCTTTATCATGCTGTCGTTAGAAAGTTGACCTTCGTTAACGTTGAAACTGAGCCAATCGATTTCGTTTGTGTTTGTACCGTTCAAATCGTTTAAGATCCCATTGGCCTTTGCCGTCACACTTGCTAATATGCCTTTTACGACGTCGGTATCCCTCATTTGCGAAAAGTCGAGTTCTGATGAAATTACCACTAGAAATTCTTCTTTGATCGATACATTGAATGCTTCATTGAAAACGTCGAAAATCAGTTCTATGATTTCTTCTAGCGTCGGTTCGTTGAGTATAGGTAATTGTTTTTCATATACATATAGTATAACCGAAATGTAGCAATAAAACGTAGCGTCGATAATTTTGACCAACAAGTGTTGGTGATCGAGCCGACCGTACGGATTGGAAATCCAAGTGCGATTTTCCACGAATGCTCTGGTAATAACCACCTCGACCCGATGTCGTTGTATCACCTTACTCCAATCGACATTGAACCCCTGGGTGATGGTCCCTCCTCTGAACAACAATTGTCTTTCGTCTTCCCAAAACGGTTTCAGGTATAAAATGTCTATTAGTCCATTATAATTACGGTCGAGTGGATGCGAAGCATTCGAGTTTCTAAACCATCTGGAACTACTTAGATCGGTAAACATCTTATCGTATTTACTCTGGTTTTTCCTTACAAAATCAGGTTCCATTACAGTCGGAGGTAGGTATTTTTTAGCTATACAATTTCCAATGAAATCTGAGAAACCGGTTTGCAGTTGGTCGTCTTCGAAAGGGTTTTCGTGGATATAGAGTTTATTGTCATCGTACTGTCTGATGGCAATGATTTTCAAAAAATAACTCCAAAGCCATTTGCCCATTTGTAAATATCCAGCCGGAAATAGTAGAAATATCAATTCGGCTTCCATTTTCAGACGTTTTATAACATTCTCGCTTCTATTGAAAGGTTCTCCGTTTTTTATCTTTTCAACAAAGTTCTTCAACCACAATATGTTTGATCGTGCAATCACACATACACTACACATGATGTCCCGACCTTTTTCCTCCAATTTATCCCGGCTTTTTAATTTTGTATGGTATTCATCAATACCGCCACAAGTACTTGTTGACAGATTTCGCTCGTCTTCTCGTGTGATTTCAATTTTCGGACGTTTGTTGAATGTTTTTACATTGTTTACGGCACGCAAATAGTATTTATGGGATGTTTGAATGAAAAATCTCGTAGGATTGATCTTAAAAAAGAAAAGTTTATTTTATATGCGTAAATAGGTATAATGTCTTAAAGAAAATAATAATTTTTAAATTGTTCAACTTCTATCAACCGCAAAACATAGGATCAAATTTTTTTCACAGCATATCATTAGCTCTAAATAAATGCTTACCTTGCTGTTGCCTGCTGTTTCGAATGTTTTTAAATTTGACGTTATAACAAAACAACATAACAAAAATGCAAAAATGTTGCTAATCATAGTCGTTTATTATTTATTTAATTATACTTTAGTAAAATACAAGTCATTCGTATGAAACTGTGTAACTTATAATTGACTATTATAATTGTAAGACTTTAGGCGGCTGTTAAAATTTACATTTGTATAAAGCGTAAAAAAGTAAATAAATCTAATTTTTTATTTATTTTGATAACACTTGTTCACACAAATAGTATTTTTCGGTCTGCTGACTGACTCATGGTGACGCTCTTTCTAAATACAATTTTGTTAAAATGTCTACAATTTAACTTCTTATAAACAAATTATAACAAAGCCTTAATTTTATGTTGAATAATATTGAAATTTTAGTGAATTATTTATGATTTTAACACAATAAAGTACTCTTTATCTTTTTTTGTGTGCCCTTAGTACATTACAATAACTTAAAAATCGATGGTATTGAATTATTATTTTATCTTAAGTTGGTAATATGCTCTATTATTTGTAGTATTTGTGTACACAGACGTATGAATGTTTGTTTTTCAACTGCTTCATTCCTGAACTATTGTCATCATACACCTCCTTCACTCATTTTGTCCAGCTCTTTGAAATATTAGCGATTTTACTCATTGTATAGGTTTATTAATACAGATTTTAAATTAATTTCTCTAAACAAAAATACTGCTTCATACTTACATTTGCAAGGTAAATTATTCATAAAACGAAGTTATTACATTTTCAATAAAACCCATAGAAACAAAATACACACAATGACTATGTGTATTTTGCCAGCAGTTGGTCTTGTGGATTTTTTTTATACCAGTCGATTATAATGTGTGAAATATGAAACTATTGTGATTACTCGAAAATTTCTTAATATGTCCTTACGAGAAGCGAGCAGAGAATTAATTGGTTCTAAAGACAAGTGTTTGTAAAGGGATAATACAAAAATGAAGTAAATCAATGAAGTATACAATTGATTTTATGGTTCCATTTTTAAAAATTAAATGAAATTGTGTTGTTTGAAATATTAAAGTTAAACAGGATTTTTAAAAATTAGGTAAAAAAACGTCCATAAATAAAACATGATTTTTTAAAAGTCGACACTAAAACGTTTGCTTAAACATTTATTTTGTTCTATTTTAGAAAAACGAATTATTTTTTAACTTTGATGTGAAGCTGAGAAGGTATTGATTCTACAGTGATGTGTTGGCTCCCCTAGTTCTTGTCAAAACTTTGAGGATTAGTATTTTTAGGTAAAATAAATACCTAAAATTAGTGTAGTGTGTAATTTATTTAAATACCTTTAAAAAATCGGAAAAACAGATTTTGTTTATTTTGCAAAAAATTGTTAATATTTATATTTGTATAACATGATACGACTGCCTTCTTTGCAGTTGTAAATGTATAAAATGTCAAAAAAAAAATGTATTTATTTATTTTGTTACATACTAAACATTATTTTGGCTTCGATGCGGAACTGAGAAGGTGTTTGTTTTACAATGATGTGATAAAATAAAGTAATTCATGTATGGACAATAATTACAAACTTTATATGCTATTGATAACGTTATGTGGTAGCTCATATAATTTAA